ACCAGCACCCCGCCGAGAAGGACGGCAGGGACAAGGGCTGCTGCGCCGCGCTGCTCCAGCACAAGACCCCTCAGGCCATCGGCAAAGGCGTCCTGAGCCGGAGAGCGGAGTAAGTGCGAAGGGGGAGAGGGGGCGGGCAGGGCTGGCAGCGGGGAGCCGGAGGGTAGCGGGCTCTCTCCGGGCCCGCATCCAGCAGGGAACTGGGCTGTACCCCCCTGCAGCCTCGCAAGGAGGGAGAGGCGGTGTGTGGGTGGGTGGGGAATCCCTCCCTCCATGCGTTCTCGGGGAGAGCAGAGGCAGAGTGCAAAGAGAAGCCAGGATGCTGCTTCCGAGATGCATCAGCCTCCCGGTTCACCGCGCTCGTTCCCGGGGACAAGTGTGTGTGGCCCGTTTGGAGCCCCTCGGGCAGCTCACCCGCCGTGCTCGGACACGGCACCGTGCCCTCATTGTCTGCCAGAAATAAATAAGTCCGTGATCGACGATGAGTGCGGTTTAGCCCAGGCACGGAGAAGCCTCGCAAAGCACAGAAGCGTTGTGGTCGCTTCTGCTTGCTTTAAGTTACTGGTATCTGTCAAAAAAAACCCATCACCCCTGGGGTGAGCTGGGGTTTTCCTGCCCTCACTGATGTAAGGGGTGCATTATATCGCACGGGATGTGTATAGGTTCACAGAGATACAGATGCTGTACTTACATTTGACATTTAGGGTGCTTATTGCACTCGTGTGTGGGTTGTCTTTTTTTAATTTTTTTTATTTTTTGGTGAGTGGCAGAGTGGCACCCGACTTATCCAGCTCTCCAAAAGGACTGTATTTTTTGCTGGTCTCTCATCTTCAGTGAAGAAGGTTTGACTGCTAGTCTGAATACTGAAATGTATTGTGTGTGCATGAATATATAGTAAACAAGGATGAACATTCCAGCACTATAGGTGGTGGAAAGGGCTACCATTGAAGAGCAGCATTCTCTTGGATTATGTATTCAGTATATGCCATCAGTTCACCAGCTGGTAATTACAGCTGCAGTCAGTATTGTAATTTCCTTTGTTTAGGTACTTGGAAAGCAGGGGGACGTTTTCTGGTTGAAAACCAGAGTTAGTAAAGTTAGAAGGAGAAAGAGTGTAGTTTCTGCTGTGGCTTCTTTTAGATAAGAAAGAAAGTATTAGTAAGACTAAATCAAACGTCTTTCCTAGAATTGTCTCTATTGTCTTGGTTATAGTGATGTCAAAACAATTGAAGTGCACAACGCACAAGTACATATGAAGCACACGAAGTACACAAGCCCAAAACGTCTTCCTTGTCTCACTTTGACCATTTAAGTAAAGGGACCCTTCTCTCTCCTGTTTGTTTTGAATACACAAGCAGAACTACAACATGGAGCTGGATTTTCCACTGGTGTAAGTACAGTTACACCACTTCATAATGGCTCAGCATATCTATCATGTGATTCTATGAAAATCAGTGAAGATACTGCCGTTGAAACAAATGCTATTAAAGGAAGAGGTACGGTCAAGGCATGCTTGAATCCCAAAAAGCATATGCTTGCTTCTGAAATCCTGCACCGTAAGACTCAATTTTGCAATCACAACTTAGAGGAAGTGAGTGGGCTCCTCGGAGTATTAATGCAGGTAGTAAGGCTTTGCAGGATCTGGCTCTTATTCATCATGAAATAGCTGGAGTTTAAATAAAGAAGTGGGGCCAGATCCTGAACTCATGCCAATTGGTGTAAATCCAGAATAGCATGGTTTGAATCCCTCAAGTCAAACTAGTAAGAAACCCAATAAAAATGCATAATCAACTTCATTGTTTCTTCAGGAGTGACTCCCTGCAGTGAAGGCTCTGTAAGAAACATCATCTCAGCAAGGGCTTTCCTTGCTTCTGCACAGAGTTTCTAACATACGTCATCACATAGACTGAAGAATCAATTTTTATGCATAAGCCTAAATACTTCCTCCTTATCTGAGCTCTTTTTGCAGCGGGGTTTGACTAGGGGAAGAATTGTAGGGTTTTTTTCTTAATGCCAAAATGCACAAAGAGAAGTGCATTAAGAACACAGCTGATTGCTGGTATATCATATGATGATCTTTCTATTTCAGATAGACAGATAGAAGGTTGGATGGAGCCTTTTTTGTGGAAAGTCAGGGCTGCTTCTGGGGATAACAGAGCAATCCCTGCAGCGTTCTTCGCTCAGGAAGATTAAAATAGACTGCTTCTGTTTCCTTCTATAGCTTAGGCAAACCAAAATCTTTGTATAGCAGAGGAAATATGAGAGATGCCAAACAGTCTGCGTTTCTCACTCCTGCAGGTTCTGTTTTTCCCCCCACTGATTGTATATACTGAGTTTCATACTCTCTTGTTCCTGTTAGAGGAAAATCAGAGACAGCAAAATCTAACTTAAAGGCAACTTGGATGGAGGGTGATGAGTCTTTCACCACCTATTGACAGGATGCCCAGTATACCTTATGATTCACCAACCTGCGAGTTATATTTTTGCTTTTGTGTTTTTTACATGTTATTACCTGTGCAGACCAGGCATCTGCTCTCTCTTCCTTCCTCCCTGCCATGTCCAAATATGTTTTTCCCTGTTATAAACTCTGAAATTCAATGTTATCTATTTTTTTTCTTAGCCAAGAGTAGAGGACTGATTGCTCATTACAGAAAATGGCCACTCTAAACAGAGCAAGAAGGATATTTTAGCATGTTGGGATGCAGTGGCTAAAAGCAGGGGTTAAAGCAGCAAGCAGGCAGTGCCCCACTGTCTCTACTCAGTAATGGAATTTCCTCTGCCCTCACAAAACAGGAGGTTCTGGCAGCATGTTTAAACGTGGACTTGTGCTGGTCCCTCTCACCTCAGACACAGCCTGGGGATTTTGCTAATTTTGAGTCAGGTTTGAGGGTTTTTTTTGCAGCCCAGCTTACCTCAGGCTCTTGATAGAAGTGAAGACCTGAGGTTTTGGACACATGTGACTACTCATGTTAGCTGGGACTGTCTTCTGCAAGCATCTCTCTTATATTAAAGAAAACTTCAGTCTTATTTTTGTTTGTTTTTAGAAACTGACAAATGTTCTCTCTTTAAAGCCTTTAAAAAAAAAAAGAAAAACCCAAACAAAACCTACATTTTGAAAGGGAACAAAACCAAGCCTATCTCTGGAAACGGAAGGATTTCTGACCCATGCAGAGGCCCCAAATTGTCGCTGCATGTCTTTGTGTGGGAAAGGTGACACTCAGATTACCTATGAAGAGAGAGGAGGAAAAAGAGAAAGATTTTTGCAGAGATTTTCAGCAAGAATTAGGCTGATTATTATTCCACGGCATCTGTCTCTTTCTACCTTAGGAGGCTATTGCATAAGCACCTCACAGCTTTAAAAACAAAAAAATAAGGTCATTCGTCATGGAATGTTTTGCTTTGAAAATACAGGTTGCCAAATTAGCATAGCTCAGATCACCCTTACGAGGCAGCCTCTTGTCTTAAGGGACCATCCCAAAGTGTCAGCAAATCCTGGGAGTATAAATTTTCCATCCCTTCTTTATCAGAATACAACCTTCTTTGCCAATCCCCAGTACCCTTCACTGAGTATCAGGGAAATGCCACAGGGTTGAATTTAGCAGATTAAGTCTAAATGACCCAGATCCTGCTGGTTTTTATCAGAGAAACTCTCAGTAGGAGCTGTATATGGAAGGACTTCCAATTCTGAGTCCAGGCATTAGTGGGAAAACTCACTCCGATAAATACAATTAGAATAATAGCTAATAATCCGTTATAGTTCCTTCAATCAAAAGACAAGGCTGCAATTCACAAACATTCTGTATTAAAGTGGCATTAAAGTTTTCTTTTAACCATGTCATCAACAGTGAAAAGAAGGCATAGAAACAGCATTTGTCTAGCGTGACATAATGGACCTAAGTATTGTCTTTAAATTATTAGCCTGTGTTTGCTCTACAAGATAACTCCTCATGCAAAACAAGCTCCATGAACTCTTAGAAGAATTTTTCTAAAATCACATTTTCCCAGATGTCTTAAAGCTCATTTTGGATTTTCATTGGACTGAAATCTATATTATTTTACTTTGCACTGGTTTGGGATAGAATTTTTTATCTTAGTAAAGAGGCAAGTTTTAAAAGATGATGTTAAAGTCACTTAGTTGCTCTTGTGTTCTGAGGCTGTTTGCTGTTTTTTTTGTTAATTTCAAAACTCAATTATGTAACTTTAAAATTAAGATATTGCATATGCAGAGGTGCTGTTTTCCATAATTTTTCTTTTTAACTATGCATTGATGTTCTATTCTATGGATTATCTCCAGGGTAAAGGCATTAGAAAAAATCCTGCTGATTTCAATGGGAGCTAACAATAACTGTAAATGTATGGTTTACCATTAAAATATTTTGCTATATTTGCGCATTGCACCAGCACAAAAAAACCTCCAGCCATTAAACAAAAAGATCAGAACAATTCTGAATGGCTCATGTACCCCAGATACCCATTCCTCTCACTCTGGGCACACAAGGAATGCTACTTTTGCCCTCTTCTTTCAGTCTCTCAGATTTCCTCCAGCATATTTCAGGGTTTAACTCCCTGGAGCTTTCACACACCAGAAATAGTTGCATTGGTGCTGCCCTGGGTTCTGCAAATCCCTGCTAGCAATGTACTGTCTCAGCATCAGAAGTTATTTGGAGTCGAGTGCTGGAAGCAGGTCGCAAACGACAGAGGTCTGCATTGGCACAGCTTCACAGATGCTGAAGTCCTGCTTAGATGATTTTGGCATAAAGAGCATTCTGAGAGGAAAACAGAAAGTAGACTCTCCTTCACTACCTCTAATTTAAAGATCTATCCATACTGCTTCCATTGCAGTCAGCTAAGACATGCTTTATAGTGCACACCTGCATTGTACCTACAGCAGGGCCTGTTACATCCCAGGCAGGAGAGGATGGAGTTAGAGGTTCACAACAATATTTAAGAAATAATAGATGAAGTGAGAGATAGGAAAGGACTTAGCTTGGGAAGGGTTCAGGATGAAGTTCTAGATATAAAATTGCTGAGTAAGGACAGCACAAAGACTTCCACAGGGATAAGACTTCAGTAGGACGCTGCATAAAGTCCCAGCCAGAGCAATGCAGT